AACATTCATTTAAAAAAAAAAGAATTCCAAAACAATACTCTTTGTGAAACAGAGGAAATAGTATTTTCACAAAAAAAAAAGAGCTAAAAATTAATATGATTTTTATAAATTTTCAAATGTTAAAAAAGAAAACAAAGTACCCAAAGGATATAAAAGAAACTCACTATGATTTCAAGAACAGTTTTTAGTTTGGTTTTGAAATATATAAATGATTGCAGAATTTTAGAGAGAAAAAAAAATACAGATATTTCGTTTTACGTTATTGTTTTTGGGTCAAACAGAGCACACTTGGTTAGAATTCTGCATTTTTGAGTCAAAATCTGGTAGCAACAACAATAAACTGGACCGAATCTCACAACAAAAAGCTATAAAATTTCCTGAACAAACTCAACAACTTTGCTCACCAAAGATGGCTGCAAAAATGAGCTCTTCTGTATAAAACCTTCCAAAAACCTTTTTGTGTAAGGTGTCTCATTCCACAACGGCCGTTCTTTTCTCCATTAGGGACTCAAAGAACTCAGCACATAATTTCTGAAGTGGCGGGAAATTTAGTGTAGAGCCGCTGAATATCGTTTCCCATGGCCTCTCTGATGATATAAATGGTGTTGCTAACGAGTCAACATCCTCCATTCTCTTCTTGTCATAATCAGGTAACTGCCCATACAAGGATGTGTACCCGGCGTCTCCTAAAAGATTGACACTTTTTCAATTAGTAACATGGTCAAATCAAATAAAGTTTCTTTCATACTTTGCTTTAACACTTTCTTTCACCTGTCTCTTCCAGACCAGCAAGACCGTCGTAGTCAACAGCGCTACGCTCGTGCGACTCATCGCTATTGGGATCAAAAACAACATACTCACGGCTTCCATTTACATACGCTAGGCGAAGCTGAGACTTGTCTCCTAAAAATGAGATTGATCCTCCCTTAGCCTGCAATTTAGACATTGTTTAACTCGTTGGTTTCATCTCTCTTTCTTTACGGTTCTATATTAACGGGCTATTTCTTTTGTCATACCTTAATCACAGTCCATATAGATACTGGCTTAGGATCTGATCCGTTAAACAAAAGAATGGCACCATCTCTACCACGGAAGATGTTCTCCTTAGATTTATCTGTTTTAAAACTTTTTGGGATCACAGCCAAGACTGCAAATGCTGATGAATCCACTGCAGAGGTGACAGCTGCAGAAAGAAAATAAACATTTACTAAGTAAACCACAGCAAGAGTTTTCATGGGGAAATCAAAGAAGCATTATAATATTGACCTTCTACGCGTAATCCATATGACCAAGATATAGATAACTTTGATGTATTCCAAACAGATAGTTCAGGTCTTGGAAAATGGGATGCAGCAACAAGGAACTCAGACTTTCCCGCGAAACAGAGCTTCGTGATAGGCTGTAATATATTGAGAGGGTTTAAACATTGGTCTTTATTCCCAGCTTTTTTATGGATAACTTCAAAGTTTTTTTTACCGTGAGTGTCGCTCCTAGAACAGACAAGAGAATGTTCTTGTCTGGATTCCAAAGCGTAATAACATTCTCAGCTGCAACAGCCAGAACAGTGCCATCCCCAGAGAAAGCAGCAGCAGTCATTGGCTTCTTCCTGGAAAATATTTAAAGGCAATAGAATATATAATTTGATCGCCAAGGAGGATAAATTGTGAATGTTGAAGTTTCCTAATGCGTAGAGAAGCTATTACTTATAAGAGCCAACAGCGTGACATATCCAGCTAGAGTCCTTATCCGTCTGGTTTTTGTCACTGTTGCAAACCCAAATCTGAAACAGCGAAAGTGATATCAGTAAGACAATAATAACAAACAAAAAACACAGAGAAAAAAATGTAAAATCAGTTTAAGAACTACCTTGAAGTCCCCACCGAATGATGTACTAACTGCCATGGAGCGGGTAGGGTGGAACGCAATGGCTGACACACCGGCATCCCTGTAAGATATAAAGAAGGAGAAAATTTACTCTCTGCAAAGGATATAACAGTTTGTAGACTAAATCAGAGAAATCGAAATCTAGGTTTGCTAGGTTTACAAGAAATAATAAATGACAAGAAAATTGGGTAATGATGAAAAATAAAGCTTTATCCATTAGCAGAGGGTGAGTTATTAACCTGTGAGGTTCATATACGATTGTGGATAAGGTGAAAGTTTTGCTGTCTGGTTCAGACACCCAAAACTTGAGGGACACTAAGCCTCCTATGCCATCTTCCGGAAGTTTCACCTCGGTTGTACTCATCACTGAGCCATCCAGGGAGAGAGCAACCGCTGTCACCACAACCTATTACCGTATTCTCAAATAATCACCCAAACAAATATAATCTTAGATATACTACCAAATAAACAGTAAGGAAATGTACTTACTGTGATTTCATCGCCTGGTTGATGGTTTCTCTCACAAACTTGAATCTGCAAAAGCATTGGTTAAAAAAGTTAACCTTACAACTATCACATACCAACTTAGAAAATTCATAGCAGCAGAAAGTGGCATAGAGTTCATTAAGGATATATTGGAGCCAAATTCTAACCTCTGAAATTCCCCGGTCATTAAGAAGATTGTATAGCTGTACACAATAATTCTCTGTGCACAAAGCAGCTATGCCAGAAGATCGATCAAAGGCAACAGTACTAGCCAGGCCTTCATACATCCTAGGCAATGATGGGGGAGCCTGTAACAAAATAACACGCAATGAAGTAAACGCCAAATAAAAGGTAAAGCAGTTGCGAGAATTTCTTCTAGAAATCTAGAATCATTGACAATACTGACAAGAAAAGGTTTTTAGGTGCTTAATTATTAAGTTTCTAAGACGAACCTTGATTCCAGAAATGGTCCTTAAGATCTCCATGGAAGGCATTTTAAGCAAATGGATCTGATTATCTGCACAAACCACCTGCAGCTCTCGTTCTTAGTCAAATAAGCAAAACATTCCCATTTGCTTTCAGCAGTTGTGTGTTAGATTAGATTGAAACAGAAAGCTCCGACTTACAGAAGAAAGAGTTGGATCTGGAGACCACATGAAATACAGCAAGGGAGATCCTATTCTTGGTAAAAATTTCTTCTTCCCTGTGTCTAGCTGCCAAACGACAAGTACCCCTTCCCTTCCCCCTAAAGAGTCAGACAACAGACGCAATATGGAGTAAGAACTCAGGACATAACTTTCAAAACAGTGAATTTGCTCATGGCCTATTAGTTTATTATATCGGGTGATAAATCCAATGGATATCAGAATATAACTCGGCCGCACCTGAATACAAATATGCTCCATCGGAAGAGAAATTAAGGACGTTTACTTCAGCAGAGTGCCAGTGCCATGTAGTGCAAGATTCAGTATCATCTTCACCTCTCACTCCAGCGTTGTCCAAATCAACCGTTGCTCTCACTTTTTTCTTTTGATTACCCAAGGCAAGTTTTCTATTACCGAATCCTCTCCAAATCAATACTCTTCCCGTTACATCTCCAGCAGCTATAACTCTCTCCGTGGGATGAAAAGCAAAAGCATTGATAACCTTTGTGTGATGTAGTGTCATCTTCCTTGAAACAGCATGCCTTGATCCTCCAGAAGGAATATCCCATATATGAATTTTACACTTGTGACGGATTCCGAAAAACTCTCCCGAGGGACTGATAACAATAGATTCTGGTTCTGCCGTCTACACAAAGAAAAAAGCAAAAAACTTGAGCTTACACAATCCAACTTCAAGACAACATTAAAGACAAACCTCTTTCAAATAATTCCATTAAAAACTAACCTCTTTCAAAGTGTCTCCACGAGGAACACGCGGTTTAGCAAGGTTAAATCTCCGGATATGTCCACGCAACTCTTTAGACCCTTCGTTAACCACACTTATATCCTCAACCGAAACAAAAGCAACCAGCTTACCAGATAATTCACGACGTTTATCAATTTGTTGAGGTTCACTCAAAAGAGATGGTATAACCTAAAACACATAGATTCATTTCATAAAACAAAACACTCACAAAACCAAAAAGTATTAAACTTTTTAAACTAACCATAGAGTAAATCGGCAGCTGAGCATCAATGGTTTTCAAAAGCTCAGGTCCAGAGAAATCCCAATGACGAATTGTACCATCAAGAGACGCAGTCCAACAATAACAAAGGATTTTTTGAGCAGGGGTCGATGCAGGAACAACAATTAGAGTTGTTACTAGAGCTGTATGACCTTCAAGCGAAGTAATCTAAAAAAGGGGAAAGAAATGTATCAATCAATCAATGATTCGAAGAGAAACCCTAACAAATCGGAGAAGAATCAAATTTTTGGTACCTGTAAGCCAGTGGCGGCGCTGAAAACAGAGACAGTGTTTCCTGTGCAGACGAGGAGCTTTTTAGCGTCGTTGGAGAATGATGGAGGTGAAGTTACGTAGCTTCTCCCGCCGCGAATCATGGTGGTTTTGTTTGATTTCCGGCGATAGAGAGGCGGAGAAATTGGGAAGAGAAGAAGAAAGGGAGACGCACAAAAGCCCTAACTTAAACCCTTTCTTCGTTTGTTTTTTATTTTTTTTCCTCAGCTTAATTACATTTTTAATATTCTTTTATTTAATCGGTCCATATATAAAGACGTTAAAATTAATATACTTATTGTGAGTCTATTGGCCAAAGGGAAGTATCGGGCTACTGTGAGTGGACTACATTTGGGCCTTTACAATGGGCCTGTAATATAAGTAGGAATTAATTTTTTTTTATCATCATGATGAAAAATAGAAAAACAATTAAGTATTTTATGATTAGCAAAAGTATTCATAAATCTCAAAATCAACAAATGAACCCTTTGTTTGAAAAATTGCTAGGCACTAGTCAACGCTCGGTATGTGTCTAGCGATTAACGGAAAATCAGATTTAAATCGGAGACTAGTTTTAGGGTTATTTTAACGTTTTAAAAACATATTAATCCATTATAATTATTTTTATTTTTTTGATATTTCAAGTTCATGTTTTGAAGAACACAAACTACAAATATGTATAAATTGTATCTAATGATATATAATATATAAATTATCATATAATGATAGCATAAAAAGTAAATAATGTGATTAAACTTACAACAAACCAAATGATCAATGGCATTTCCATTTTGCTTTGGAGATTTCACCATTGTTACATAAAACTACAAAGAGCTACATAGGTTTTGAAATATACCAAAAGAGATCGCTAAGGTTAAATAGATTCAATGATCGATCATCTGAAGAAAACTTTCCTCAAGACTCAAGCTTTTTAACTCTCTCATAAAAACAGGTTTAGAATTGGCCAGAAGGGAAAGAAGTTTATATATGGTTGCTTATACACTCTGTACTTTCCCCGGCATCTCCTTTGCTTTCACGGTCTTCATATCCTGCATTCGATTCAACAGATGGGTACTAAGTGCTAACCACAAGATATACTTGAGGAACATATGCAAATCAATGACTAAAGAGAGTAGTAACTCTAAAACCAATCCAATCACAATTTTTATAATTGATGTGGTATCCTTTCCATTGGTTGTATATTGTTGTGTTCATTAGCTTAGAAGCAAAGGGCAAATAAACACTCGAAACTAGCTTTGCTTTAAAGCTTACCCAAAATGTACATCGAACAAAATTTTATCCAACTAACCAATAAACAAAAAGGTGATGAAGCAAGCGGACTAAAGGAGTCAGATTATCGATAGAAACTAGTACAAAGAACGATTCAGGAACCGCAATAACGAGAAACTAAGCATATAGAGACTCAAAAGGAAACATATAGAGACTCAAAAGAAAACTTACTGATTCTTTGCTTTCGTAGTACTCATCCAAAGCCCACTGATACTTAGATTGGTTTAACCCAAACCATCTCACCAAATGATCATCCACACTTGAATGTGCTGAAGTAAAATGGTTAAACACATATACACACACAAGAATGTCAAATTCACAATCTAATTGCTTTTAGGACCAAATCACAGAAACATTACGAAAATCCAGAATTCATGTAACATTTTAGTACTTTCCAATCACTTCACAAAGATAGAAACTTTACATCTATTTCTATCATTCTGAGTTCAATTTCCCAATCAATCAACTAAAGGGTATCAGAAAAAATCAAGATCAAACTCAAGATCTCAAAATCAGTTAATTGTTTATAAGATTTCTCACCATTTTGAACCTTTGTGACGGCGTTTTTAAAGAACCCCAAAACTGAACCGTCTTGTTCAGAGGAAGCCACCGACTTAAACTGCTGCGGCGGAGGAAGAACCGGTGGTGCCATCACAGGCTTCTGAGACACGGCGGAGGGAGATTCAGGTGGTTTAGGAGTCGCAGGAGGAGTCATAAAGACAGTGTAAGGACCGATTTTTCCGATAACAGGAGGAGGTGTTGATGGGTCTCTGTTGATCGGCATCTTGAAAGTGTGAGATTGAGAGAAAATGGAAGGAAAGTTTTCAGACAAGAATCTAAGAAGAGAGAAGAAGAAGAAAGGTTCTTGCTTTGCTAGATGTTGTAGTTGCAAGTTGCAGACAGTGATAAAGTGGAAGATTGGTTTCAGAGGAGAGAGTGAAGTTTTGGTTCGTCGTCTGTGTTTTTTTTTCTTTTAAGTGTAAATGTACTTTACTTTTCACACTGACCAAAGAGTCAAACACACTTCACATTTCTTCCATTGCTTTTTTGGGAAAAAACCCGAAAAATACCCCATCTATTTTTAATTTGGACGTTTAATACCTAACTTTTTTTTGTTGGAAGAAAAATACCTTCTTTAATTATAATTGGTCGAAAAATACTTTATCTTTATATTATTGGTAAATTCAAACCTCTGATTTAACGGTCGTTAACGGACGTTACGGTATCAGTAAATGACGTTATATTATAACAAAACAAATAGCCGAAAAATGCTTCATCTATTTATTTTTTGATTTTTAATACCCAAACTTTTTGGTTGGAAGAAAAATACCTCATTTAAATATATTTTTGTCTAAAAATACCTCATTTTTTGAATTGTTAGTATATACAATATTTATACAAACATTTACAAATATATTACTTGATCTAATGGTAACACATATGATTTTTAACCCTCATAGAACTTCTTTTGATCTCCTATTTTCTTTAATGAATGACATACAAATTTAAATACATCATTTGCTTCACTCCTACAAATTTAAATACATCATTTTTCATTCCTAAAGGCATCGTTGGAGTTAGAAGGGTTTTGCAACTAACAAATGAGAGATTCTGCAAATTTAAATACATCATTTTGATGATGGAATGTAACGATTCTGCAACTAACAAATGAGAGATTGTGACAAAGATGACGACGACGATAGATTTGTCATTTTTGTGGTCGTGGAGTAGCATAGTTGCGGAAGTGGAGAAGAATTTAGGTAAAAGTGGAGAGATGAAAGAAATGGTTCGAGAAAGATTGAGTTTTGATCGTATTAACGAAGTAATATTGAGTTTTGATCACACCAATATATTTGTAAAATTTTGAAAATAAATTGTATATATCTATTTATATAGACAGGGTTAATATTTAACGTCGTTAAATGTTTCTGTAATATTGTTAACGATTGTTAAGTCGCATACTTGAATCCACTAATAATTTAAAATGAAGTATTTTTAGACAAAGATATTTTACATGAGGTATTTTTTTTCTAACCAAAAAGTTGGGGTATTAAAATTCCAAAAATAATTAGATTGAGTATTTTTCGGCTATTTTTCTGTTATAATTTAACGTCGTTTACTGATATCGTTATGTCCGTTAACGACCGTTAAATCAGATGTTTGAATCTACCAACAATTTAAAAATAAGGTATTTTTCGACCAATTATAATTAAAGAAGGTATTTTTCTTCCAACAAAAAAAAATTAGGTATTAAACGTCCAAATAAAAAATAGATGAGGTATTTTTCGGGTTTTTTCCCATTGCTTTTTCCGACGAATCTTTACTTTTTCTTTTTGTTTTTTTTTTTAATCTTAAAAATCCAAAGAAATTATTGTATGAGCCGTGGAGAGAAGATCTGATCAACACCATAATTTAAGGATGTTTAATCTGAGTAACGTTTGGTTTTTAGTTATAGTGTTTTCCATCTTAAAAAAAAAAAAGGGTAGAATATGTGAAATAGAATTTTTTTAAAAAATTATCAGTTTAAATTTTTTCTTAAAAATACGATTGAGAAATACAAGGGTGAGATAAGATTTTGATACACAAAGCGGCCGGAAGACAAATGTATCCCGGAAACTAAGCACAAACGAGGAAAACATGTAAACATAACGGAGTTCTTCAAAAGAAAAGGCATCGACTAAAAACAAGAACTTTAATGAAGAAGATCTGCTGACTTAAAGATCAAAGCCACTCACATATAACAACAACGCAAGCAACGAAATCTAATGGACATGGATTTTTGTAATGGTGGATAAGCTACCAAACTCTAATCGAAGAAATAAATTTGTGAGTACGAAAAAAAGGGGTTTGGGTTTTGAATCATTCGGCCACTTACAAAAATTCACTACAAAAGACAGTGGTATATATACAAATCCAGTTCGTAATATCGCATATACAAAAAACCATTAATCAACAGATGAACAAAACATGGACGTATCAAACTCACCATGTACATAACAATATGAACATGTTTTTGATTAATGTATAGATCTTTTCTCCAAAACATCTAAAAAGCCATTAACTTCATCACTTGATCAAGTGCTTGCAGTAGTAGACGTTGCTAATAATAGTTCATGAGCTTCATTTAGCATCCACTCTTCACCGGTTTGACCACCTAAGACGACCAACCGAGTTCCTCCGACCACACAAGTGGTGTGTCCCCACGCAAACCTTGGCGGACCTCCATGAACATTCAGTATTCTCCATGCCGGTTTCTCCTCAGTTGGATCAAGAAGATAAAGCTGAGAAGCCGAGTCAAGCCCTGCAACCGAACCACCAAAGATCAAGATTCGACCACCGGGAAGGCTGATTGCCACATGATCCAGCCTTGGTGGTGGAGCTGCCATGCCTCCTGGGAGGCTAGATCCATACCCAATCACAGGTCTCCAACTCGGTTCATCCTCGCTAAGATCCATCGTGTATACATCGTTAGAGCGGAATCTCAGAGAACCGTTTTTGGCAAGACCGCCAAACATGAGAATCTTGCGGTCACCATAGACGGTTAGAGTATGTCCGAGGCGAGATGGAGGGGTCCATGGAACTGGTATCTCCCTCCATGTCGGTATATCCATCGACAGGTCAAGCAGGAATGTATCGCTGAGTAGAGCTCCTGAATCAGCACAGCCACCTGATACAATCAGCTTAGTGCCATCAAGTGTGCACGAACTGTGCCATGATCTTGGTATTGGAGGGGCCAATCCGGATACTTCTCTCCAGCTTGGCGGGTCTGCATCAAGGTCTAATAAGAACACATCGTTGAGTAATCCGTGGCTCCCGTAACCTCCAAACACTACTAAACGGGATCCATTGACACAAGAAAGTGTGTGACCCCAGCGCCCCGGTGGAGGAGAGCTGACCAGAACGGATTTCCACTCGGGGCTACTCGAGCCAAGGTCCAACACAAATGTATCATTCATCGGCTGCATATTTACACCTTCCCCGCCAAAGATAACAATCCTGTTCCCAACTGCACATGCGCTGAAATTACACCGGGAAGGCTCAACAGTACCTCCAACCGAAAACTTCCTCCATGCTGTTGCTTCGTGTGTGGTAAACTCTCGGGCCAGTCGCACCCAACCGATCCTCTTTGCACCAGGAACACTCTCAAGAGCACGTGTTGCCTCTGTACCCCATGTGTTTTGACAGACCATTCTCCATACATCATCATTCTTTGTCAACTCATTTAGCCGCCGACATACACAACCAACCGATGCAATATCACCAGGAGTCAACTGTGACAATATCTTGATAGCTATGACCTCATCACTCAGTTCGAATATCCCACAAAGTCCACGAGAAACATTACGCTCTCCGATTGGTAAAGCAGAAGTAAATGAGCGAGATATTCTTGGAATTTCTTTTGCAGATAAATCAGGAGATGGGGCAAGATCAATTTTTGCATCTGTGAATAAGAGAACGCCTATGAAATGAGTGATTTCGTCTTCTTCACGGATAGGGACTAGACGCAGCTTGTTCATCAAGGGAGATCCATCTTTCCGAAAGTTGAGCAACTCGCCTTGAAACTCGATGCCATTTTCTAGACATTGCCGCATCTTCGTCACAATTGTAGAATCTACATTTGGATGCCTTCTTTTAGCAAATGGCCCTCTACATTGTAAGAACCGGCTGAAAAAACAATAACAACGTAACTCAGATACGGAATCCTCTTTTTCACTTCATCAGGTAAATAACTAACAGCTGAACAGATACAGTACTTTGCCGGCGAAAATTTCCTCACACCCAAAATTATTGAACAAAGATCCTCATGAACTAAACTATATGCATATACAACATGGAAAAACAACTACAACCCGATGAAACAGATTCAACAGACATATAATATGACAGAACGCATTTCCAATAACATTTTGTGTGATGAAGCAAAGATATTAACAGTTTAACAATGCATGAGAGAAGAAAACACATCAGAAATACTAATTCAACAATGCATGAGAGAAGAAAACATATCACAAAGACGAAAGTTCCAAGTCTTATAAAAACAAACTCAAGACATGTAACGCAAACTATATAGTTCCAGTTCCTAAACAGTAATCCAGAGAAACAGAAAAATATTAGAAACTTGAATCTAACATCTAACTCTCCTCTATAACCAATTTCAAATCCTATGATTTCGACATTTCCCAACTAAGAATACCTAACAATATGCCAATAAAATCAACAAGAACCATAAGCTTTCTGTCAAAATAGCTCTCAACAAGCTCTCTTAGTTACATCGTACCAATACCACAAAAAGGACAAGGACTCGCTACAGTAACAAAATCATCACAAATTTAAGGTAAAAGTCAAGAAGAGAAAACTCACCAATTTCGACCAATAACTTCCTCAGCTCGATAACCAGTAACAATCTCAAAAACAGTGTTAACATAAATGATAGGGTTATCAGGTTCAAGAGCATCGCTGACCACAAAACCACACGGCGCCGTTCCAGGAAGACTACCTACCGGAAACGGAATCGCTCCGTTATCTCCGCCGAACCATCCATCCTCCGCCACTTCATCTCCCCCGCTGAGATCGGAATCACTATCCCACTCCATTTGATTTTGCTTACACACCCACAAAAAAAAAAAAAGCTTAAGACTTTAAACTAACCCACGAATCTTCTTCTTCAGCAATAGGAGAAGAGACCCACAAGAACAAATTTTGATTTTGAATCGAGGAATCTGTTATCTGTAGGTAATCGAAGTCTCCACAGAGAAAAAGCTCAAAACTTTAGACAAACCCAGGAATCGTCTTCTTGAGTAACAGGAGAAGAGAGAGACCCAGAAGAACAAATTTTCAAATGGAATCGAGCGAAGGAAAGAATAATCTGATATTTGTAGGTAATGGAAGTCTCCACCGCCCAACTTCTAGAGGAGAAGAAGAAGAGAGATGATTCGGTCGGTCGATGACTCGGATCTTCTCGATCTTCTCAGTACCTCTCTTTTTCCATCTTTAACCGGACCAGTTTCTTACTCGAATCTTTCCGGTTTACCCCATAAAATATCCTGCG